GTTGTTGCTGGTGGAAATGGAGCTGGTTCAGCATTAACTCAAATAACAACAAGTTATGCTATGTTTGTTGATAGTCAATCGAATATCTATGTATCTGAATATGGTAATCACAGAGTAACACTATGGTTATCAACAAATACAACATCGGGAACATTAGTACGTATTTATTGTTTAATAATTTTATATTGATTATTTTATTATTTGATTAAAGGTTGCTGGTGGAAATGGTGCAGGAAGTACATCAGAAAGATTATATAATCCTTGGGGTATTTATGTCAATGTCAATGGATCAATGTATATATGCGATACATCAAATCATCGAGTTCAACTTTGGCAACCTGGTGAGTATGATGTATGTAACTATTGAAATTTAATAATTTAAAATATTTAAGGAGCAATCAGTGGTAGCACCGTTGCTGGTGCAACTAGTGATCCAGGTCCAAATGCATATCAATTAAATACTCCAACAGGCATAACAGTTGATCCATATGGTTATATATATGTATTGGATACCTCAAATTCACGTGTTCAAAAATGGTTTCCAGGTGCATCTTATGGCATAACAGTAATAGCAACATCCATGAATACTCCATATGGATTGCATGCTGATAATCAAGGAAATCTTGTTGTTACGGATACATATAATTATCGAATTCTATCTTTTGCTATGACATGTCGTAAGTTTAATATTATTTAAATTTTTCTAATAAGAGAATTAGAATAGTTTAATGAAATAATCGAGCAAAAGTTTTATTGAACATATGAGAAATAAAAAATGTTGATTTATTAATAAGAAAAGAAAAATGTTTCTTTTTTATTTTAATTTCAAGCTGGTACAACAACAACGACAACGGCACCACCATGTAAGTTTTCTTTTTTAATAGTTGAAACAAATCTTTGGTTAATTCTAATATAAAATAGTTCAAGGAACTGTTCCAGTTTGTTCTACAGCTGTTTGGAATCAAACATATTCTACGTTAGTTGGAACATTTAATACATATGGTTCAACAGCAACGTTATTATATAATCCATCAAGTATTGCTTTTGATGGGTATGGATATATGTATATTGCTGATATAAGTAATCATAGAATTCAACGATATCCACAAGGTTTACAAATTAACTATTTTATATACGTGTATATATGTATATATATAAATATAATATTTATTTTAAGGATCAAATATTGGTACAACTGTAGCTGGTGCAACAGGTTCTTGGGGAAGTTCACGAGCACAACTTTACAATCCACATGGATTACATGTTACTAATAATGGAACAATGTTTATATTAGATACATCAAATTATAGAGTTTTAAGATGGCAATTAGGATATCCAATGGGTTATATTGTTGCCGGTGGAAATGGTGGTGGTGCAGCATACACTCAAATTGGTGCAAGTTATGCTATATTTGTTGATGATCAATATAATATTTATATATCAGAAAGTGGCAATCATCGTATTACAAAATGGATTAGTCAAAATACAACTGCTGGAGCTTTAGTAATCTTTATTTTTTATTTTCATTTTGATTTTATTATTTAATTTATAGGTTGCTGGCGGAAATGGTGCTGGTAGTACAGCGGATAAATTATCTAGTCCTTGGGGAATCTTTATTATTAATAATTCTACATATATTGTTGATCAAGGAAATCATCGTGTTCAACGATGGGATTTTGGTATACAAAATATATAATTAGATTTCTTTTGTATCTAATAATGATTTTCTTCTAGGTGCAAGTCTTGCTACAACAGTAGCTGGTTCAACGAGTGATCCAGGTCCATGGGCATATCAATTCAATACTCCAACATCAATTACACTTGATCCGTATGGTTATATATATATATTAGATTCAGCAAATGATCGACTTCAAAAATGGTATCCAGGTGCATCCTATGGAATCACAGTCGTATCAGCAACAATGTATGGACTATATTCAATGCAATTTGATCATTCTGGTAACATTGTTATATCAGATACATTTTATCATCGTGTTCTATCATTCAGTATGACGTGTCGTAAGTTTTTTGTTTTTTGAATTTTTTTAAATACTCTTATAAATCAAAATATTTATTTGAATAATGAAAGATCGCATTTTTAAAAAAATGAATAATATTCTTAATCTTTTTTTCATTTTAGCTTCACCAACAACAACAACAACCCTACCACCTAGTCAGTTATTTTGGTTTTTTTACATTATATTGAATAAAATTGTTTTCATTTATATATGTATAGCTCAAACAGCAATACCAGTATGTCAAACAGCTATATGGAATCAAACATTTACAATATTAGCTGGTACAACATCAAATATTGGATCAACACCAACATTACTTTATTATCCATATGATGTAACTTTTGATGGCTATGGAAATATGTATGTTGCAGATTATTATAATCATAGAATTCAAAGATTTTCTCCAGGTTCATATGAAATATTTAAATAAAAATTATTCTATTTTAATAATTTAGGTTCAAATGCTGGTACAACAGTTGCTGGATCATCAGGTTCAGCTGGAAGTTCTCGTTCACAGTTGCGTTATCCATCAACGGTTTTCGTTAGTACAAATCAAGATATGTATATTTTAGATACAAATAATTATAGAGTTTTAAAATGGCAATTAGGGGAACCACTTGGTTATATCGTTGCTGGTGGAAATGGCAATGGTGCAGGATTTACTCAAATTGGTGCAAGTTATGCATTGTTTGTTGACTCAAATTATAGTATTTATATATCTGAACAAACAAATCATCGTGTTACAAAATGGTCTAGCAGAAATATATCGGCTGGAATTTTAGTAATTTTTTAATTATTTTTCTTAAAAAATTAACTTTTTATATTGATTTATTTAATGTAAGGTTGTTGGTGGAAATGGTGCTGGAAATACAGCCGATAAACTGAATTCGCCATGGGGAGTTTATGTTGATGGTAATGAAACTATTTTCGTTGTTGATAGAGGAAATCATAGAGTACAAAGATGGGATGCAGGTAAAAAAATAAAAACAAAACATTTAAAATAAAATCTATAAATTAATTGTCTAAAAGGTGCCAGTCTTGGTACAACAATAGCTGGTTCAACAAGTGATGCAGGTCCATGGTCATATCAATTTAATAATCCAACATCAATTACATTTGATCCTTATGGTTATATGTATATATTAGATTATAGTAATAATCGAGTTCAAAAATGGTATCCTGGTTCAAGTTATGGTTCAACTGTTGCATCAGGATCAATGAATTTACCAGTTGGCATGTCATTTGATCGTCTTGGAAATCTTGTTGTAGCTGACACAAGTTATCATAGAATTATTTCTTTTAGTGTTATGTGTCGTAAGTTTTGTTTTCTAATTTCAAATGTCTCATTTATATATTGAAAATTCACTCGATTCTCTTATTTAAACATTCAAAAAACAAAACAGTTTCAAAATGTAAAGAAAAGCTTGTTTTGATAATTTTCTTTTTGATAATTAAAATAAAGATTTTATTACAAAAAATAAACTTTATTTATGATACATTTAGTTTCGCCAACAACAACAACAACAACAGCACTACCATGTAAAATAATTTTTAATAAAAAGAAAAACTAAAAAAAGTTTCTATAAGTATTTTATTAGTTTCAACAACAAGTCCACTGTGTTCAACAGTTGTTTGGAATCAAACAATGTCAATTATAGCTGGTACAACATCAAATGCTGGTACAACATCAATATTATTATACAATCCATATGACGTTGATTATGATGGTTATGGAAATCTATATGTTGTTGATTATAGTAATCATAGAATTCAAAGATTTCCACCAGGTTTCATTTATATTTGAAATAAAAGAAAAAAAGAAATTATTTTGTTTTTGCTTAAAAATTATTTCAGCATCTTCTAGTGGTACAACTGTAGCTGGTGTAACATCTTCTTGGGGAAGTTCACGTGCGCAATTGTATTATCCGACATCAATTAGTGTAACACAAAATGAAACAATGTTTATAATGGATACATCAAATTATAGAGTTTTACGATGGGTAGTTGGTGACCCATTAGGTTATATTGTTGCTGGTGGAAATGGTGGTGGTGGAGCATACACTCAAATTGGTGCAAGTTATGAATTATTTGTTGATAATCAATTTAATGTTTATGTTTCGGAAAATTCTAATCATAGAATTACCAAATGGTTATCTACAAATCCAACTAATGGACTTTTAGTAATTTACTATTTTCTCATATGAATTTTTAGTTCAATTTTATTTCTTGAAAATTTAAGATTGCTGGTGGTAATGGTCAAGGAAATGCAGTAGAAAAACTAGATTCACCATGGGGAATTTATATTGATAATACTGGTGGACTATATATTGTTGATCGCAACAATCATCGTGTTCAATATTGGCCATTTGGTAGAAAAATCAATTCTATTGATTAATTATTAATTAAATGAAAATTTGGTTTTTTTAGGAGCAAGTTTTGGTACAACGGTAGCTGGTTCAACAAGTGATGCAGGTCCATGGTCATATCAATTTAATAGTCCAACATCAATTACATTAGATATATACGGTTATATCTATGTTATGGATTTTAACAATGAAAGAATTCAAAAATGGTTTCCAGGTGCATCTTTTGGCGTTACTGTTGCAGCAACAAATATGTATAATCCATATGGTATGACAATGGATCCACATGGAAATTTGATTGTAGCTGATACCTCTTATCATCGTATTATTTCATTTAGTCCTACTTGTCGTAAGTTTTCATTTGTTTAAAAAAAACGATAGGATTTTTTTCTTCGTTCTTATACTTATCTTTTCATCTCTTTACTAATACAATAAATATTTGTTCATTTAAGCGGCTCCAACAACAACAACACCTTCACCAGGAAGTCGGTTATATTTTTTTCATAAAATAAAAATAAAAATAAAAAAACTATGTTCTTTTTTTTCTAATAAAACAGCTCAAGCAACAGTCCCATTATGTCCAACGGCTATTTGGAATTCAACATTTACAATAGCAGCTGGTTCAACATCAAGTGCTGGGTCAACATCAATATTACTTTATTATCCATATGACATTGATTATGATGGTTATGGAAATCTGTATGTTGTTGATTGTTATAATCATAGAATTCAAAAATATCCATTTGGTTAATTCACATTGATTTTCTATTAAAATAAAATACTATTTTTTTTTTCATTTTGTTTTTAGGATTATCTAATGGTACAACTGTAGCTGGTGTAACATCTTCTTTGGGAAGTTCACGTTCGCAATTGTATTATCCGACAGCAATTAGTATAACATCAAATGGATCAATGTTTATATTGGATACATCAAATTATAGAGTTTTAAAATGGCAAGTTGGTGACACATTAGGTTATATTGTTGCTGGTGGAAATGGTGGTGGTGGAGCATACACTCAAATTGGTGCAAGTTATGGAATCGTTGCTGACGATCAATATAATATTTATATATCTGAACAAACAAATCATCGTGTGACGAAATGGTTTAATGGAAATACAACTGTTGGAACTTTGGTAATCATTAGCTTTTCTTTAAAATTTTCAATTATTTTCATTTATTTGAAATAAAAGGTTGCTGGTGGTAATGGTCAAGGAAATACAGCAGAAAAACTAAATTCACCATGGGGAATTTATGTTGATAATACTAGTGGAATATATATTGTTGATCGTGGCAATCATCGTGTCCAATATTGGTCATTTGGTAGAAAAATCAATTCTACTGATTGATTAATCATTAAATGAAAATTTGTTTTTTTAGGAGCAAGTTTTGGTACAACGGTAGCTGGTTCAACAAGTGATGCAGGTTCATGGTCATATCAATTTAATAATCCAACATCAATTACATTAGATCAATATGGTTATATGTATATATGTGATTATAGTAATAATCGAGTTCAAAAATGGTATCCTGGTTCAAGTTATGGTACAACTGTTGTATCAGGATCAATGAATTTACCAATTGGATTGAAATTTGATCGTCTTGGCAATTTAGTTGTAGCTGATACATCTTATCATCGTGTTATTTCATTTAGTGTAGTGTGTGGTAAGTTAACTATTTTTTTCTATTCATTATTCAAAAGATACGTTAGTGATCTTTTAATTAAATGAAAATTTCTTTTTGTTTTTTAGCTGCAACAACAACAACAACAACGTTACCACCGCGTAAGTTCTATTTGAATTCTAAGAAAATAATAAATACTAAATAATAAAATAGCTCAAACTCAAATTCCATTATGTTCAACGGCAATTTGGAATTCAACATTTACAATAGTAGCTGGTGCAACATCAAGTTCTGGGTCAACATCCATATTATTATCTTATCCATATGGTATTGCTTTTGATGCATATGGATATTTTTACGTTGCTGATTATAATAATCATAGAATTCAAAGATTTCGACAAGGTTTTATTTAATATTTAAAATTTTAAGAAAAAAAAGACGAAAACATAATTTTAGGATCAAATATAGGAACAACAGTAGCTGGTTTTAATCCATCATCGGGTAGTGGACGTTCAGAATTAAATAGTCCATCAGATGTATATATTGATTCCAATGAAACAATGTATATATTAGATACTTATAATTATCGCATTTTAAAATGGCAAGTTGGAGAATCAATTGGCACAACGATAGTTAATGGTCGAGGTTCTGGTTCAACATTCGATAAGATAGGAAGGAGTCATGGATTTTTTATCGATAATGATTATAATATTTATGTATCTGAATATGTAAATCATCGAGTTACACTATGGTTTAATGGAAATAATACTGTCGGATTATTAGTAATTTAATATATTCATTATTTATTTTATATTTATTTATTTATTTATTTTAATTAAAGGTTGCTGGTGGAAATGGTCTAGGAAATGCAGCAGAAAAACTAAATTCACCATGGGGAATTTATGTTGATAATACAAATGGAATATATATTGTTGATCGTGGTAACCATCGTGTTCAATATTGGCCATCTGGTATTTTAATTAAAATTTTTTGTTTTTTTTTGTATCAAAATAATTTAAAAAAAATTCCTTATCTTTAAAGGTGCAAGTCTTGCAACAACTGTAGCTGGTTCTACTAGCGATCCTGGCTCGTGGTCATATCAATTTAATAATCCATCTTCAATTATGCTCGATCCATATGGTTATATTTATGTTTTGGATACTAGTAATGCAAGAGTTCAAAAATGGTATCCAGGAGATCCATATGGAAGAACAATATTATCAGCAACAATGAGTAGTCCAATTGGAATGTCTCTGGATTTTTCAGGAAATTTATTTATAGCCGATACATCTTATCATAGAATTTTATCTTTTAATTTATTATGTCGTAAGTTTTTGTGTTTTAATCTTAGATATTTTTAAATTATTATTAGTAAAATGAACAAAATTTGAAATTAAAGATTATTTTCTTTTTAGCATTAGCAACAACAACAACAACAACACAGCCACCAAGTAATTTTTATATTTCTATATAATAAAATACAAGAAAACTTAATTAATAATTTATTTAGCATCATCTCAAAATCAAATTTGTGCAACAGCTATTTGGAATCAAACACTTTCAGTATTGGCTGGTACAGCATCAAGTCCTGGATCAACATCAACATTATTATATAATCCATCTGACATATATTTTGATGCATATGGAAATATGTATATTGCTGATAGAACAAATCATAGAATCCAAGTATTTCGATCAGGTTTATATTTGAAATTGTTCGGTTTTTTTTCTTTTCGATTAAAATAAATTTTCCTTTTAGGACAAACAACAGGTACAACTGTAGCTGGAAATTCAGGTTCATCTGGTTATGGAAGAAGTGAATTATATAATCCATATGGAATATTTGTTAGTTCTAATCAAACAATGTTTATATTGGATACAACAAATTATAGAGTTTTAAAATGGCAATTAGGAGAACCGATTGGTTATGTTGTTGCTGGTGGAAATGGAGCTGGTTCAGCATTAACTCAAATTGGTGCAAGCTATTCATTCTTTGTTGATGATCAATATAATGTTTATGTATCAGAAAATGGAAATCATCGTGTTACTGTATGGTTTAGTCGAAATATAACTGCTGGAGCTTTGGTAATATTTTGTTTTCTTGAAACATTTTTGTTTTTTTGATAATTTTAATTTAAATAAAAGGTTGCTGGTGGAAGTGGTGTAGGAAATGCTGACGAAAAACTAAATTCACCATGGGGAGTTTATGTTGATTCAAATCAAACAGTTTATGTTGTTGATAGAGGAAATCATCGTGTTCAACGTTGGTATGCAGGTAAACATTAAAAAAAAAGACGAAATTTAAGATAAAATCTATAAAATAATTGTCTAAAAGGATCAAGTACAGGTGTAACAGTAGCTGGTTCAACAAGTAATCCAGGTTCATGGTCATATCAATTAAATAGTCCAGCATCAATTATACTTGATCCATATGGTTATTTATATGTATTAGATTCTGGAAATACAAGAGTTCAAAAATGGTTTCCTGGAGATAGTTATGGTAGAACTATTCTATCAGCTACAATGAGCAATCCATTAGCAATAAAAATTGATCTTTTTGCTAATCTTGTTATTGCTGATACATCTTATCATAGAATATTATCATTTGGTTTAGTATGTCGTAAGTTATTCATTTATTTAAAACATTTTGTTTTTAATAAAAATCTTTTGAAAAAATCTTTAGCTGGAACAACAACAACAACAAGTGCACCTCCAAGTAATTGAAATAAAAAATAATCATATTTAGATCTAAATATAAAAATATTTCTAAATAGCTGTAACAACAATTCCTCTTTGTTCAACAGCAACATGGAATTCAACATCTACGATAGCAGCTGGTACAACATCAAATCTTGGATCAACACCAACATTACTTTATTATCCATTTGATGTTGCATTTGATGCTTATAATTATATGTATGTTGTTGATTGTTATAATCATAGAATTCAAAGATTTCCTCCAGGTCTATATCATATCTCAATATTTTAAATAAACTAAAAAAAACAAACTGGAATATTTCTATTTATATTAGGATCAAATACAGGAGTAACAGTAGCTGGCTCAACAGGTTCACTTGGAAGTTCATTTTCACAATTGTATTATCCAACAGCAATTAGTATAACATCAAATGGAACAATGTTTATATTGGATACATCAAATTATAGAGTTTTAAAATGGAAATTAGGTGAACCCATTGGTTTTATTGTTGCTGGTGGAAATGGTAATGGTGCAGGATTTAATCAAATTGGTGCAAGCTATGGAATCGTTGTTGACGATCAATATAATATTTATATATCTGATCAAACAAATCATCGTGTGACGAAATGGTTTAATGGAAATACAACTGTTGGAACTTTGGTAATTTTAAGATTTCTCTTCATTTTAAATTTATTTACCTTATAGGTTGCTGGCGGAAACGGTGCTGGTACTACACCAGAGAAATTAAATTCACCATGGGGAATATATGTCGATAGTAATAGTAGTATATATATTGCTGATAGAAGTAACCATCGTATCCAACGATGGGATTTAGGTATTTATGATTTAATCGTATAATGATCTATCTAATTGTAAATTCCTAAAATAAATAGGTGCTGCTAATGGTATAACTGTTGCTGGTGATATGAATGGAAATGCTGGTTCATTGGCATATCAATTGAATAGTCCAACGGGAATTATAGTGGATCAATATGGTTTTGTTTATATACTAGATTTGGGAAATTCACGCATCCAAAAATGGGCTCCCGGTGCAACATTTGGAACAACTGTTTTAACAGGAACATTTAGTAATCCATATGGAATGGACATTAATGCATATGGAAATTTATTTATAGCTGATACATATTATCATCGTATACAATCATTTTCTGTATACTGTCGTAAGTTTATATTCAAAGAAAGTCAATTAAATCTAATTATTAATATATTTCAGCTATAACAACAACAACAAATATTCCACTATCAAGTTAGGGTTTTTTTTGTCTTCTGCTTTTTTCTCTTTTTAAACTTATTTAATTATTTAGCACAAACTTCAATACCATTATGTTCAACAGCTATATGGAATTCTACATCAGGTGTAATTGCTGGTACAACAGGAAGTTCAGGAAGTTCACCAACACTTCTTTCAAGTCCATATGATGTAACATTTGATAGATATCAACAAATGTATGTTGCTGATTATGGTAATCACAGAATTCAACAATATACATTTGGTATTTATTTCGAATAAATATAATTGAATATAAATTTAAAATATCTATTTATTTATTTATCTGTTTATAGGATCAAATGTGGGACGAACAATCGCTGGTATAACTTCAAATTCTGGAAGTACATTAGGTCAACTTTCGAATCCATCTGCAATTTATATCGATTCAAATGATAATATGTATATATTAGATACATCAAATTATCGTATTCTTCAATGGCAATTAGGAAATCAACTTGGTACTATTGTTGTTAATGGTCGTGGTTCAGGTACAACATTAGATAAAATAGGAATTAGTTATGCTATGTTTGTTTTTAATCAAACTTATATTTATGTATCTGAATATGGAAATCATCGTGTGACAAAATGGACAATATCAAATAATAATATTGGACAATTGGTAATTTTCATTCTTTCATTTATATTTATAAATATATTTTTTTCTGTTTTTTTTTTGTAAATAAAAGATGGCAGGTGGAGCTGGTGCTGGTAATACACCAGAAAGATTAAATGGTCCATGGGGAATTTATGTTGATTATAATGGAATATTATATGTTGTTGATCGATCAAACCAGCGTATTCAACAATGGGTTTATGGTAAATATTTTTCATATTATTATTATTATTATTAATTGATTAATATTTAATAAAAAGAATCAGCAGTTGGTATAACAATAGCTGGCGAAAGTGGAGTATCAGGTCCATGGTCGTATCAGTTTAATAATCCAACATCTATTACATTTGATCAATATGGTTATATGTATATATTAGATTCGGGAAATACAAGAATCCAAAAATGGCTAATAGGAATGGCATATGGTGTAACAGTTATATCAGGATCAATGTCAAGTCTATCTACAATGCATTGGGATTTTTCAAATAATATATTTATTGCTGATATTTCAAACCATCGAATTACATCATTTAATATTTTATGTCGTAAGTTTATTTTAGAAAAACAAAAATTTCATAGATAATAAAAATTTAAATTAAATTTCTAGCTCCAACAACAACAGCAACTGCACCATATCCAAGTATGTTGACATTTCTTTAAATAATACATATATGAAAATATTCTTTTGTTTAGCATTATCACCGAATTTAGCATGTCAAACAGGTGTTTATAATACAAGTTGGTCAGTTGTAGCTGGAGTTACATCAACTTCTGGAACAACATCTACTAATTTAAATAATCCATATGATATGTTTATTGATGGAAATTTTAATACTTATATTGCTGATTATGGAAATAGTAGAATTCAAAAATTTCAATCAGGTTTAAACGATAAAAATTTTCTGTTCATAGGAATTTGTAAAAAATTTGCTTTTTTTATTTTGTTATAAAATAGGAGTTTTATCTGGAAGTACTGTAGCTGGTTATACATTAACTGGTGGTTCATCATATTCACAATTATATAATCCAACATCAATATTTGTCGATTTAAATGGAGCAATGTATATAGCTGATGCGAACAATTATAGAATTCTAAAATGGTTACCAAATCAACCCTTAGGTTCTATTGTTGCTGGTGGAAGAGGAAACGGTTCTACACTTGATAAAATTGGTTTTGTCTATTCAATTTTTGTTGATAATCAAGGAAATATGTATTTGTCAGAATATACTAATCATAGAGTTACCTTATGGTTATCTTATAATACAAGTCTTGGTCAATTGGTAAGAATTGTTTATCTTTCACTAATTTATTTATTATTTTTTGCAGGTTGCCGGTGTTGGTTTTCTTGGAAATTCATCAATTCATTTAAACAATCCATGGGGTGTTCATGTTGATTCAAACGATACTCTGTATGTTGTTGATAGAGGCAATCACAGAGTGCAACAATGGATAAAAGGTTCGCTGCGAATAGAAAGTTTCTTTTTTTTTCTTTGAAAAATAAAATTTATTTTCTATTTAATACAAGGTTATATTTTTGGTATTACTATCGCTGGAATAACGGGTACTTCTGGATCGAGTTCATCTCTTTTAAATTCTCCTACTGCAATTACTTTTGATTCAAATAATTTCATGTAAATACTATTAAACTATATCATCTATAAAAATATTTTTCTGTTACATACATACATATATATGACAGGTATATCATGGATGCAGGAAACAATAGAATACAAAGATTTGCACTTGGATCTGCAACAGCAGATACTATTGTATCTATGGCTTTCAGTTCTCCAAAAGGTATGCGACTCGATACAATAGGTAATCTATATATTGCTGATCAAAATAATCATCGAATCGTTCTTTTTCGATGTGGTAAGTTAATAATTAATTAATAATCTTTCTTTCTTTTTGTTCACATTGATTGTTATTCATTAATAGTCTATAATGTATCGACAACAACGCTTACAACAGTAACTACAACAACAGGACCGACAACTTCAACAACAACAACAACCCGTACTACCTCAACAACATCATCCAGTACTTCTTCAACAACAGCAACTACAACAACATCAAGAACTACTTCTTCAACAACATCATCCACTACTTCTACAACAACATCATCCACTACTACTTCAACAACATCTGTAACTACTAGCTCAACAACATCATCTAGTACTTCTTCGACAACAGAAACTACAACAACGGGACTATCTACTACCTCAGTTACTACAACAACAGGACCACCTACTACTACAGTTACCACTACAACAGCCACTACTTCAACAGGACCACCTACTACTACAGTTACTACAACAACAGGACCACCTACTACTACAGTTACTACGACAACAGGACCATCTACTACTACAGTTATTACAACAACACTATTTATTGCTACGACAAGTATGTACAGATTTTATTTAAACCATTTCTACAAGTCATTCATTAATCATTAACTTTACAGATCAATTCATTATTAATCTAAGATTTTTATCTCTTTATTTTTAGCAACGAGCACAAGTACTACTTCTACAACGACAACTCCTGCTTCTACAACAACAATATCAATAACGGTTACGACTTCAGCAACGAGTACAGCCGCTTTAACTACAACAACAATAGTTGGAGCAACAACTACTACTGGAGCCACAACAATAACAACAACTGTTGCAGGAACTACGGCAACAACTGCACTAGGAGCAACAACTACTACTGGAGCCACAACGATAGCAACGCCAGGATCTGGTGGTAGTGGAAGTAGTACAACCACCCTGTCTGCTGGTACTGCGATTAGTGCGTCAAGCCAGGTATAGAACAAATTCATCATAAGCAACTTTCAATGCATATAATTGTTTCTTATTCTATTGAATATTTATTATTTTTCTTTAGAGTTCATCAAATATAGGTGTTATAGTTGGTAGTGCTGTTGGTGGTGCAGTAGCTCTTGGAGCTATTGTTGGTATTGGAGTTGCAATAGCTAAAAAATTAAACGGGTTTGGAGAAAAAGTTTTATTTTTGATCTTCTTTATATTCTTTTGTTTTTAGAGCAAGTTCTCTTGCCAACAATCAAATCATTTCTACAGGAACCAATAATATCTTTACGGTATGCTAGTTAAATTGTTGATAGAGAAAAATTTTATAGAAATTCAACGTAAATATGTTGATTATAGACAATGGAGAGGATAGACAATCCATCATATGTTCCACCTACTGATCAAACTGCATCGTCCAATATTAAGACCCTGGAGGATTCTTCTTCAAATCGAAAATCTAATACTGGTCCTATCTCAGGTACTAGTTCCACACAAGGACAACTCAGTACTCGTACTTATAATATTCGTATTGTGAAATAAATATTTCTTTTCATTTCTCAATTGTGACTGAACACGTGTGTGTGTGTTTTCCACTTTCCAATAAAATTGCATCGTCCACTATTTTATTCAAACAATACCTAAAACACGTTATCTATGTTTTTGGTTCGAGAAGCATAGATAAGTTCTTTTCATCGCTTAGATTCTACTCAATATCATCCTATCTCTATCGATAAAAGAGTAATGATGACGGAATAAGCTAATAATTATCCTTATAACGATCAGAGTACACGCAATGAACATCAAAACCATGCAAAAAAAACATTGGTATAGGATATTTATGTGGTTTAGATATCTAATCAGGAAAGTATTATAATTATTTCCTCGCTTGTGAACTAATATTTTGCCTCTGACGAGAAAACATATTCAACCATCGGACGCCATTCGACTTCACATTATGGCTGCGAGTAAGTATCTGTGAGATTAAGAAAAGCTTAAAGCAATTCACACCAACGGTTTACTATTGAAGAGTTATAACCATTTTAATGGAATTTTTCCTGAGGAGAAGTCATGTTCGAAAAACTCAAAGCAAAGTTTCAAGTTGAAATTATGTCTATAGTAGAGTACTGCGCGGGTTTGACTTTTAGCACCCGCACCCGACCCGAAGGCCTCTAGTGGGACCCGAGCCCGACCCGACCCGACAAGGTTCTACCCGAACCCGACCCGACCCGACAAGGTTCAACCCGAGCCCGACCCGACAAGATTCAACCCGAGCCCGACCCGACCCGCTGATAGTCGAACCCGAACCCGACCCGACCCGAGAAACTAAATTCGCTTATTTCCAAAAGATAAACAACTTTATTTCAATGTTAACCACAAAAAATAACAAAAAATTGTTCCACCAAATAGCATTTGATTGTGGTTTATCACATAACGTATATTCACCACTTTGAAGCAATTTCCGAATCTTTTCTTTTGGATCCATGTGAAAAAGATAAAAATAATAACGAAAGTATGACTATAACAAAGTATCAGTTGTTTATAAATACAAAGAAAGCTCACATCCATATATGTGTATATATGTGTATCTATTGTTTGTAGTCATAAACAAATAGAATTATATTTCATTGTTCTTTGTATTTAACGTATACAATAATAGAGGGCAGAGGCATCTATCGCGAAAAAAATGTAACCCGAAAAAAATCCGAAATTTTCAACATCAAACCCGCACCCGACCCGACCCGCAGCTAATCGAACCCGTGCCCGACCCGACCCGACCCGATAGGGTTGAACCCGCACCCGTCCGCGGGTGCGGGTCGGGTGCGGGTTCGGGTCGGGTCGGGTCGGGTTGCAGTACTCTAGTCTATAGGTACGTCTAATAGTCGTTAGATGGTCTTGAAAGTTTCAATGAAAGTGAACATGTCTTCCTCGAGATACTCAATTTTCAAGCACACTCGATTACTGTGACCTCCTCTATGGTAAATCATTGTTTTCAGATATTGAATATCTCAAGAAAGATATATTCGCTTGCATTAAAACTTTCAGGACTATCTAATGTCTATCAGACATACCTATAAATATTATGTCAGCTTGAAACTTTTTGTTTTGAATTTTTTGAAAATGTTTTGTTCTCAATAGAAATTTCATAATAATGGGCATGACTTTTCAATATTAGGCCATGGGTGCTAATCGTTTCAAATTTTTCTTAGTCTCACTGATACCTACTCGTAACCATAATGTGAAGTCGAACGGTATTCAACAGTTGAATATATTCCCTCCTAAGCAGATCTCGATGAGACTAAGGTAGCCTTAATACTGTTTATGCCATATCCTTTAGGTCAACAGTGACTGTCGTTGTAATGTTTTTTTGGTCTAAAATAAAGTATCTATAGCAAATTAAATGAATGTATATTGATCTAAAATTCTTTTCATAAAAGAGTATCATGATTTTTTAACGTGACACCAAATTATTTTAGCCGAAATGAATACTCCCTTTTTGAGGTACGGAATTTTCAGGGCAGACCTATCCAATAAGAACACCATCATGAGTCATGAGTGACTACTTCGGAAATATAGTCATCCATTCGACAAGAATGGCAGATCTGTTAACAATAGAACTGTCGAAATAAATGTCATCGGAGAGAATTTCAATAGGATGCACAAATTTCGGTTCATGACGCTCAACAAGATATTAGTAGACACCATCAGTACTATTCTTGCCCATTATTGTCTGGTATTGAAGAACAACAAGTTTCAAATGAAAATGAAACACAACGTAAATGTTTCTCGCACGATTAAATCATCTAGATATGAAAGAAGACTACTGGAAAAATACTTTGTCACTAGCGCATGTTATACAATATTTCCCATGAATACAATTTTTTTAGTCATGTACATTTGACTAGGTACGTTTAACCGCGTTGATCGAAATTGCATTCCTACTCATCGATTTATCTTTGGACTGATTTTTATTACTGTTACATATCTATTCGTTATAGCTAAATCTATGATTGACCAGACTGAAGATAAACGAACAAATATCTTCACATTTTGATATTTAAATCTAAATGTTATCTCGAATATATCTTATGAAAATATTATTACTCATGAAATATTAAGAATGTCATCGATGAAACTTTTTTGAAAAACAAATACTACAGAACTTTTAATTATGTAAGTAATCAAAAACCTATCTGAACAACAGTAACTATATTTTTTCTATTTGTCGGCTTTTGTTATAAGAAGAATAAATCGTTTTTTTTCCATTGTTGTTAGTGTTTTCATTCTCCATGTAGTACTCTATAAGAATCAGTAGTGTAAACCATTAGCATACTCGAAACTAGTAGAACTTTTTGGATCGGATCGTTCGGTCGAAATTGTTGAATTATTCGGTGAAAACTGATCTGTTCAAATTCAGAATTGAACCGACAAACGATTGATCTATTTAATATATTAATTAACTACTGTAACTACTATCTATTTCAAAGTATAATGTACTCACGGATTTTTGAATAGCATTTGATAGAAGTATTATAGGGATCTACAGTTTTCACTATTCAAGAGAGAAGAGCCAAAGTCATTGAAATATACCGAAATTTTATTGGTCAATAATTGACCAATCAGGTGAGTTCTTGGTGGAGATTTTGGAAAACAATATTGTAAAGCTATTTTTCTTTCGATTTAGACTTCTAATAGGAGTAATCGATAGGAAAAATTATTCTCTTTCGATCTACAGAACACTAAAATTTCTAGCTAGTTTCATTCAAGAGTTATTAAAATTTTCCTGAGACCTTTGATTTCAGTTAATTGACCTGGAATAACTTGAAAAAGCAGATAGGAAGGAGTGACTCACTATGTTGAGTCAAATGATGATATTTGTTTTCGAGATTGGAACTGATTTGACATTATTGTCTCAACATTTCCGAACTGTTGACTCCTTCGTTGCATGAATACTGATTGTGAAATTCTAGAAATATTGAGATAACAATGTCAGATCATTTTGAATCTAAAAGAACAAATATCACCATTCGACTCAGCATGATGAATTATTCCTGTCTAGCTGCTTTTCTGGGTGATCACAAATCAATTGACTGAAATCAAAGATCTCATGAAAAGTCTGATCTGCCAGGATCCTGGATCTCAAGGATCTTGTCAAGTTTTGTTCAGAATCCTATCTCGAGTTCTAGTAACTTCTGTGTGCAGGCTTTCTCATGATTAAACAAGATCTTTCTCAGAATTTGTTCAAGTTCTTGTCAAGATGTTTTTTAAATTAATAATTCAGAATCTAGCCAGAATTTTCTCTCGATTCTACCTAGGATCCTCACAGGACTAGCAGACAGAATACAGTCAAGATTTTATCAAGTTTTAGTCCGGATCAGTTCTGGATCCTGATACAAGGATCCAATCAAGAAGAGTAGCTAAATCAGAGAAGGATCTTAACAAGAATACAATAGGAGAGTGTGGATATGAGTTAAGATAAGATGAACTCATACTCACACTCACACCATTTTCGCTGAAGAACAAGGATTTTTATCCTGATCTTGATTTGGAGCTTAGTATAAATTAATACAGAGATTCTGACAAAATCTGAGAAAGCTTTTTCTTGTAGAACTCTTGTAAATTATTAATGAAATTCATTTGAGATTGGCCCCATGAAAACCAGTTTTTTTTGTATTTTTATCCTGAAAGAGAATTTGAAAAATTATTAAATTAGGATACTAATTGCATTTGGTTACCACAACATGTTTTCATTGAATAGCTATTTTTAATATGGAGCATATCTTTTCGCAAAAAACTGTTCATATTTTCAATTATGCTTGAAAAAAAATTAGAAATACATATTTTAAGTCAAAGTGCAATCAGCAAAAAAACAGTAAAATTTTCTTAATTGAAAAAAAAATACTTAAAACGATATTGCTGTCCTAAAATTTTCTTGAGATAATTTGTTTTCATGAAAAATTCAAATCGAAGTTTACATTTACGTCAGAATTTAAGGTATCGAACGTTGAAGTTATATACAATAACATCGCACAATCTAGTCAGAAAGCTAATCGATTTGTATGCTGAAGATCTAGAGATCAATACTCTATCTGTTCACTTTTTTTCTGTTCTGTTTAGAAAATCTTGCAAAGATCCTGCCAAGAAATCTGATAACATCCTCAAGGAAATCAAGTAAAATTCTGCACGATATATACAGAAATTTCTTTTTCCATTTGGAATCATTGAAATCCTGGCAGGATACTGATCGAAAAGCGATGTAAAACCTCTTAGGATTCTTCCAACATTTTGTTTCGAATCCTGCCAAAATATTTGTTATTTCATGGCTACACTTTTCTTTCAGAATTTTGGGTTTCCTGAACAGATTCCTGATTTTAAAGCTAGTGATAAACTGGTCAAGATCTTGATTGAGTCTTGTTTTCGATCCTGATAGCATCTTGAATTTCCATGGGTGCACTCTTCTTTCAGAATTTCGCAATCTTCTCAATGATTCCTGATTCAAAAATAGTCGTAAATCGCATAAGATCCTGATTAAATCCTGTTTCAAATCTCGTCAGGATCTTGAAATCCGTAACTAGACGCTTTTTTAGGATTTAGTTGTTTTCTCAGGAGAAAAGAGCGAATCCTCTAAGGATTCTTATTGAATCCGTTAAGGATCTGGTGGAGAAACATGAAAAGTTTTCGCTAGAGATAATTCTCGAACGGAACAAGCAAAGAATATCAATCTTGACTAGATCGAAAGAGAAAAATTTTTTTGTGTCTAATAGTCCCATTAATAATCTAAATAGAAAGGGCAATAGCTTTAGAACATCGTTTTCAAAAATCTTCATCAAGAATTCATCTAATTAGTCAATTGCTGACCAATCAAATTTCGATATACTTCGATGACTCTGGATCTTCTCTCTTGAATGGTAAAAACTGCAGATCTCTATGATTTTCTTATCAAAAGTCATTTTAAAAACAGTGGAGCATATTATATTTTGAAATGGAGAGTAGTTCTTTTTCCAGGTCGATCATTCCAATCGTCGGAAACGGCGTCTTATTCGGTCTAAAATAGCTTTAAAACGGCTTAATTCCAGCCGTAAATGATGAAAAGCTAGTACCATTTTTTGGCCGTTTTCTAGCGATTTTAGTACCGTAATCCGTCATACGAGATTATGGAACATGTTTTACTGGAATGGAAACGGTGCCGTTTCCACTGAATAACGATGAGCCATATTAACAACATTTTTTTTCGTATACGGCTCATTTTCATTACTCGAATTAAATCCTAGGTAGCATCCTGTTTATACTTTCATTTATTATACGAAGCATATCATTACATAAATAGCATTCATACATACGCATTTATTCTCACACGCTACATTCGCAGTAGATATATGAAAAAGGGATGCACAAATATGCAAGAATGACACCTTCTGTGCGTGAAAGTACCATAAAATATGTTTTTAGATAAAGTAGTTCAGTGATTAAAAAAAACTATACTTTTGAGGGTGCATTTTTAACACGTAACTCACTAGTCTTTTTTCGCCATCTTTAAACGTTTACAAACTGTTACTTCCATATACATGGACCAATATCATTGGAATCTTGGATAAGCTTCCTACTAGGCATCTAGAAGACAAATGAATGGGTTCTATCATCTCTAGAACTTACCAATGGAAAAAAATGGCGAACGAAGAACATGCGAATATGTGTATATTCACCTAATAACAATACTAATATCATGTCAATCATCGTCTGACAAGACATCGAGACATTTTTGTAGAGCACACACACCATATCATCACATAGATCTCAAGAAAATCTGTCCGTCAGTACTTAAACTATTGTCCATTTCAAAATATAATATGCTCCACTGTTTTCTGAATAACTCAAGAACACAATTAGCTAGAGACCTGCGGTTTTCACTAATCGATAGAGGAGACAGGGGGACCTCTTTTATTCCAACATTGTATAAGACGAAGTCATTTTAAAATGAGTGATTTCTGCAGAACATTGCAAAAAACGTATAAAACTGTCTGTCATTCAGATGAAATTTTGACCAAAGGTAAGAAAATTTGCTGAAAAATTGAAATAGATCCATAATTTTCGTGCTAGCAAATAAACGATTTTATTTGGTCAGCATTAGGATATGGAAAGATAATCGTTCGAATTATATATTGAACTATAGATCTCAAGTCTCTCTATCTAGATCACATGTCAAAATCAAAATTTTATCTGAATGACAGGCAGTTTTTATACATTTTTTGCAATGTTCTGCAGAAGTCACTCATCTTAAAATGACTTCGTCCTATACAATATTGGAATAAAAGACATGCCCCTGTCTCCTCTATCGATTGATGAAAACCGCAGGTCTCAAGCTAATTGTGTTCTTGAGTTATTCAGAAAACAGTGGAGCACATTATATTTTGAAATGGACAAGTAGCTCAGAAAAGTTAATTAGGGCCTCATATTAACAAAAACCAAAAGCGAAGAAAAAAAAAGAGTAAAGTGCATTTCAATCTCAGCAAAACACTCCCGTGAAACATTAGAAATCGGTCCAACTACAAATGGTAGATAATATCATTAAGATTTATCTACTAAACATCATTAGAAAATATCTAATGATGTTTTTGAAATACTTTTTTGATGGCGTCTAAAAATGACTTGGAAACAGGATCAAACCAGTGGTCGGAATAATGTTCGTTGCCGCTGGGCCGTAAACGATAATCGTAACGTATGTCGTTTATAATTTTATTTCTCTGCTTTAGGCTGCATCGTAAACGGTCATAGGAACCGAAGCCGTTTTTCATCTTTTTTAAGTCGTTTACGATCTTTTACGGATCATTATATCCGATTTGGGTTGAGAAAAATTATTACTACAGTTTTACGAAGACATGCAATATGAAACTCAAATAACTCTTGAAGTTTCTAATGGTAACAATTTTTATTGTAGTCTGTTATATTACATATACTGTAATACTAGGAAGGAAGAAAGAACTCTTTTAAAATTTTGTATCTAGCAATGTATTACAATTGATGTTAAACAATCTCTATAGTTTGTTTGTCCTGATTTTCTCCAATAAATATATGATCTATCTACAAGAATTGATACGTTTGATCTATTCTTATTTACAATCATTAATTAACACAACTGAAGACTCCTCAATTCGAAAAAGAATATTACTATTGATAGAAAGATACAATGAGTTACAAAGTACTGTTTTATGCGAGACTTCATATTTTTAATTTTTGCAATACCTAAATATTTTCACAGTTCCATGATTCTAGGGATTAGCATAAGTTTCTCAATAGAACAGAATCTTTTCTAATATCTTTGTATCGAAACGAAGAATCGGAAAATAATAGTCCAAGAGAGTCTCTAACAGCCAATTAAAAGTTGTGCAGATATGAAAAATCTTTGCTTTAGATACTATTTAACTTTTGATGGCTTGCTAGCTTTTCATGATCATAATCAAATCATTCAGCATAATCTGAGATCCTTATTGTACGATGAAAATTCGTGAATTCAATATTTCGAGCTCAAATTTTGATTATAATAAGTGTGTAAATTAAGACACATGAATTAGAAAAAGACGTATTCGAATACTCCGTTTGACTATCTGTGTATCAATTAAGTTTCTTCTCAGGAGAAATTGTACACTTTCATTTATTCGGACACCAGTCGAATATTGTCATAGATCTGTGTAACAATGTTCATATACCAGACCATTATCATCATCACTTTCTTTTAGAATCAATTGAAATTTATTTTCATAGAAAAACAAAATAACCAATAGTTATTGTATTTTTAAAAAAATGTCTGGTCTATAGTTGTTAGCTGATATTAAGCATCTACGGTGAAGAATGTCACATCAAGTAATTGAAGACAATTATCAGAAACGAATTTGGCCAACGGAAATTTTCGACGTTGAGGAATATCATCGAATTTTTTCTCTTCTTTAACTTGTTCAGTCGATTGATAAAGCAAAAATATATATCTATGTCTTCCAGTTCCAGATCGTGGACCTGGCCCCATATACGGACCTACAATAAATATATACAAATAAATATATCTCATCTTCAAAATTCATTTTTTGCTTCCCATTTTTAAGCGAGAGATCAAGTAGTTAATGTCAAATCACAAATAAAACCATAGTTGTTTTAAACATATGTGATCTCAATAAAACATTTGAACAACGAAAATTTAGAAAGAAAAACAATATACTTGGTCTAAAAATAGAGATTTGCATATGAATATAAACTTTTGATATATGTCATTTTAAACAATCATAATAGAAATTTCAAAGGAAGAAATATTTCTACAAAGAATAAAGCAAGGTTGACGGAATTTTAATATATTTTGAAGTATAACATTATTCTAAAATATCTACGATAAGTATTAATCAAAATACTCGGTTTAAATTCAGTTTCAAGTAATATCTCACTCAATTGATTAAGTTTCTATTCAAAATTTAGAAAACAAGTTTACAAACACTAACAAATTGCTTGTCCATCGATCCCATTGTTTCCTTGAAAATTTGACAATATCCAATGAATAAATGGGCCAGTTATTGGTTGATCAGAAGAGGGAGCATCTGGATCAATCATAATCTAATTTTAAAACATTAAAAAAAACCGGTATATTCAAATAATTAAATAAACATAACAAACTAATGTTCGATATGTATTATCTTGAGATTGTTTGTTAATTTTGATATTCGGTTGTTGTTGTGTTTGTTCTTTTGTTAAATGATTATTACCATTAACTTTTTCATTTCCATAACTAATCTCTAACAGATTTTTATTGTTTTTTGTCTCGTTTATTTGATCTATCAAATATTGAACATCAGAACTTATATCGTTACTCATTTTCTTGTAAAATATATTAACAAAGACAAAGTTATTTAAAAATAAAATTCTAATAATATAAATACATTACTTTCTTATAGATATCTTTGTTTGTTTAACTACTTTGATGGTTAATCAATAACAAATAAAGAAAGAAAATTATTAGTAAGATTTTTTATCCAGAGTAAATACAAAAAAAACTCAAATCGTTGTTTTTATGTTGTTTCTTCTCTGCATTGTGAAAAAGATAAAATGAATTGTTGAAGAAGTTGTTAGAATGGATGCAAAGAACACGAAGATAGTTTTATCATCTGATGATATTTAACATTTATCTTGGTTGTCTTAGTCATTTTGATAATATGAAAAATGACAAATATTATTTCATCCAAGTTAAACAATTGTTTAAGGGATCCCTCATTAGAAAATCGAATTTTTCGAAAAAATATCGAAGTTGAGCTTTTATCATAAGAAGATGCAACACAACTTCCTCTTCCAGAATATATCTAATTTTTCGCCAAATGACTGGATTTTTACAGATTTATCAGAGGAAACTTCCACCCTACCATCATGTTTTCGGAGAAATTTTCGTGGTTTTTTAAAGTTCTTCTGTTTCAGAAAAACTGCGCTGTCATTTGAATTAGTATTGCATAGAACATTTTTATATTAACCAACATGACAGATGGCATTAGCTATCTTCATCTGTTGACGTGCTTTAAAACAGTCCACTAAAATGTATTAAAAATATACGTTTGTAATATGACTTCTTCTGGATTTGAATGAAAAAATCTATTTCTAAAACTCCTTTGATGTTTTTTCCCAAAACATGGTTGCCAGGCAGGAAAATTGAAATAATTCCCACACGGCTCAGGATATAATCGATGGTTTTTTTGTTTTCAAGGTCTGGATGAGAGCTAACTTTTCGTCAGACGGATTTTTAATACTTGATTCCTGGGCTGCGAAAATTTGGATTTACTGTCGAGGAAGTCACCTTTTTTTATACTTATTTTGAACACCATATCTACTAAAAATGGTCATAATAAAGGAATGAAAAGGAGGTTCAAGATTCTGTTCGATATAAAGTTGCGCACAGAGGCTGGCTTTAATTTGACACTAGTCTAAGCTCTGTACCTATTATATCGATGAAGTTATTTCGATTTTCCTAGAAGCTATAAAAAACAAGCTCGATGTTCGGTTTAGTATAACATATCAAGCTGAAATTTTTATTACAATCGCTTCTCACTAGGACCAATCATTCCTGAAAATTTCAGCCCAAACGGGGCGTTCTAAATGGTAAATCGATTCTGAGTGGTCTTTAAATAAGATTTGTATGTTGAACATCTATTTATTATTGATATTTTCTACAAACGTTTTATATAGAATTTCTTTAATAATATTTATCAAAAAAAAAAAACGATAATTCGAATCCATTTAGAAGATTTAAATATTCAATTGAATTTTAAAAAAAGAATAGTTCTTTTGTTTACGATATATTTCAATGAAATAAATCAATTATTTATGTTCATCGTGGATACTTAATGACAAGAAATCAAATTAAAAAGTTTTAAATATTCTTGTTAGATGATTTTTGTCTTAAATAAAGATAAAATAATTAATTATGTAAATCGATATATATTTTTATCAAGTCATATTTGTTTTATTTTATAAATACTCAACTCTATTCTTCTAGTTCTATAAATAATCGTGAATAATTATTAATTATGTTAGACACTAATATTCACATAATCATATCGTTGTTTATATTTCAATTGATGATAAACAAGTCAAATATATTAGAGTTTTATAAAAGACAATCTAGAAATCTAACATAAATTAGTTTAATTAAAATAATACTTTTCTGTTTTTATAATTAAATCATAAGATAATAATATTTTACCAACAAATTACTAAATAAAAATTATGATTAGAAAAATAAAAGTTGAAAAACGAATCTTTCAATTGAATATAACTTATCTTATGAATAATATATATTCAACCGTTTTGACAATAGAATAATCGATTGTCCACTATTAAAAATTGAATCGACATTTATTTAATGTATTCTGTCTTAATCAGTTTAATGCTACTCTTTTTCATCGTTTAAGATCAAAACTTGTCTTTATTTAGTTTAATCATCAGAATGTCTCTAGAAATTTTCATATATACAAATAAAACATTATATCTTAATCTATGCAATTAATTTGATGACACCTATCATGTTTACGAACTTTTATAAATAATTTATCACTTGAATTATATTAAAATGTAAATAGTTCGGATAGATAATGTACAGATCATTCTACAAAATTTTTCATCATTACATATCTTAATTACATTCAATTTTCAATATATGTTCGCACATTAAAAAACAAAAACACTTACGATTTCTTAAATTCGAAAAACAAAAAACAAATAAACCAACACTCGACTATAAATAGAAAACGTCACTTGAGAGATGATGACAATCAATGAATACGAACATATTACAAAATAAATTTCTTATTAGCTATTTCATAGTCTTGATTTTGTCAATTACAATGAATATGTAATTAACATTTTTTAAAAGTCGTATCTCATGCTTGCGGTAAGAGATCATTGCCAACTACATCGATTAATCTATGAAACAGCTTAAAAAAATTCATTCGAAACTCACAATAATAATTATTAGGGGGAAAAGATATATGAATTTTCTTTTTTTTCTTTTTATTTCAAACATATATCTGATCCACTGACTGAACTAACTAAAAAATGTTCGCATACATATATATATATATTTTTTTTTTTTTACTATCCAGGGAAACATGTATATGTATATACCGCTGGACGACGAGATGAAAGAAAGAAAAATAGAGGTGAAATCAGTGCAAAGATGAAAACGAAGACAAATGAAAAAGAAATAAGAACTCGAGGGAAAGAAAAGACGATGGTATATGTGGAGGGGATAGCCCGTAACAATAATACAAAAAGCAAAGAGAATTCATCAGTTGGTTTATTGAAATGTCCTTCATGTTGACAAATTTTATCATATTAATTATAGTCAACGAATATATTACGATTATAAATCATTATATATTATATTTAATTTAGGTGATTATGATTAAAACATTGTTTTTTTTGTTAAATTCTTCAATAAATTCTCTCCTCTATTAGATGAAATTAGCTATCAATGGTCTATCACTAATACAAATTGTATCAATTATTTCTCCTAAAAACAATTCCTAGAAGCAGTATTAAAATTTGAATGTTTACTAGAAAAAAATTCATCGTTGCGTTGTCCATGAAACAAACCATTAAATTGTTCAAGATAAATTCATAGTCGTATCCGTTTTTTTTATTAGATATTCTTAGATTTTATTTTAAAAAAATTTTGTTTTTATTAATCGAATAGTTGATAAATAAACAAATATAATAATCAGGAAAAAAAACGCAAATGAATACGTGTGTAAAGTTAGTCTAATTTGAATTCAATTTAAATTAATTATTGACAATCACTCATAGATAAAATACGAATCAATGTTAGACAAGAAATAAATATATTTTAACCTCGATGAATCTTTAAATTACTATGATCTCTTGCTGCTACTCCTAAAAGGTAAAGTGTATCTGGATATGTATTTGATAATACTTGTAAATCATATTTGTTTCTCCAAAATAATGAACTAACACGTTTTCGAAATTTGGCCACAACAGTTCCTAAAGGTTCTTCAACAAACGCTGTATTTAATGATGCAGCTTTACCTTCCATTAATATTCGATTTCCATTCCATAAAATAGTAAATTTATTTCCAACCAATTTAAAATTTTGTTCAATTGTTCCATTTGTCCATTGATTACTATCACTATTAAGAATAGTAATTGTTGCTTTATACATAGCTGCTGTAACTTTAGCTTTTAATCTTGCAATTAATTTTTTTGATGGAAGAGTAAGTATTCGAACATCATGAGTTATACCAAACTTTGATTCCATACGATGTTGACGGGTTTTTCCTGTACTATCGTAAACAGTAAATTCACCTCCTTTAAGACCACTTAAAAAATCTTTTTTTATAAGATATGTACGATTTACTGCGATTGATTTAATAGGTATTATCAAATTAATTGATAATAATATAAACAAGAGGAACATTATAATTGACATCGTTCAAATAGGATATATATAGAAAACAATAAAATACTATTTATATGTTTAAATCGTGCTTTTTTTATATATGATCAATAATCGAACTTAAAGTTCACATAGATATCAATCTTATCGTAACTACAAAACTAATAGATGTTTCAAACATATCTATATCATATTTCATTTTTTCATTTATTCGATCATTTTCATTGATACAACAACGACCTCAACATTATCCTTTTTCCTGATAGATTAATCACAAAACATATTCTTTCCCACTCTTATTGTTTATCCATTACAGAATTTTTTTTTTTAAATTCTTCTTATGTTTCTACTTTTCTTATCACATAGAAATAATTCAAACTAATCTGTTATTAGTTTTATATAGAATAACACACAAAGTCATCTATTAAACGAAAACGGTAAAAATTGTTCGATTATAAAAGTTCAACAGAACTGAGCTTGTAGTCGGCAAACCGACCGGTCCGATTCCAAGCCTGACAAATATTACAACAGCAATGACTATTAACCATACTACTTAAAGGTTTCTACAATCATAAAGAATTTCGTAAGCATCGATATCGTCGATTACTAGAGCAAATAAGTTGATAAGTATTTGCGAAGTAAAACTGAGAACTTGTAAAGAATTAACACGATTAAAACTACTCATAACATACCAAGTGGCATGATATGACTAATGAATCAAATAGTAGTGTATTGATTAAACTGAACAGATAGATCAAGGACACCAAATAGTACTCAATATTCATTTCGATGATATAGTATATATCGTTTTGTTGCTATATTGAATAACTTTAATATTAATTATTTTAGAAAGCATTTTCACCACTGACAATATTATACGTAGAGTCGTCATCATAATAGTAATTATACTTTGTGCAATGGATATATTATTCATTAATCAAATGGAACTCTATCGATTGTATTTAATATCTTGTTGTACAATTGCTAAAAAAATATATATTTATTTAATCTGATCTTCATCATTGAGATGATTTTGAAGTTTTCAATTTTCAACCAATTTTTTTAATGCATCGAAGATCAAATATGAACGTGGGCAAAATATCGACGCACCAGGTTTGTTAGTGGTTTACAAAAATAGATATACCATTCACTTTTACTGGTAATTAACGATTATATAGAACGAAGAATTCTATTGCATTATCGATAATATAAGCCTGAAACTAATGATGGCCGGAAACCTTTCTGTTAGTAACAGAAAAGCAGAAAAAAGAAAAATTATTGTAACTAGGACGAAAGTAATAAATAACTTACTGTTCCTTCTTGTCTGGAATTACAGAATAACGTTTAGCAATGGCGGCGAGATATATATTATTGCGTTATATTGTACAGAACAGAAAGAAGAATAACATACTACTTTTGTCATAGCCCTAAATATTTTTCTTTTCACTCTTTCGTGAATGTCTTAAGAGTTTCGATTCTTCCTTATCTTGAACGATCCATTTACAAAATATGTTGTCGACGAAATAAATTTATTTATTTGATCAAAATACGTTCAAGAGATAATTAGTTAATCACTTCAAATAATTGCGGTCAATTTAGAAAGAAATAAGAAAGAAAGAAAAAGATCATGAATCTGACACACACACACGACTACAGGCAAAACAAATATACACT